TTGGCCGGAGCTGTACTGTTCGCGTCGGCGATGGGCTGTTGTTTGGCATTCAAACGGTTTGACAAATACATGTGTCGTCAACGCAGACAACGGGAAGAGTCGGCGATGGAAATGGCCGGTAGAGCTCGGGCTGAACGGTGTCGAGAGCGAGCAGACAATCGGGCAAAACGAGACATATGGGTCAATAATTTGATGGGCAAATATGCAACAAATGGAGCTCATTATGTCAATGACGCCAATCTCAATAAAAATTATGTCAGATTTCATTAATTTTTTTAAATATTTGTTTAATAATTAAAAGTTTTAATAATAGTTTGTTATTTATGAAAATTTATAATTTAATAAACCAATTAAACTAATAAAACTATCAGTTAATTATGATTATTGTTTAATATATCAATAAATTGATATTATTAGTTTTAATATTAATATGATTATTTTAAACAATGCCATTTAGTAAATACTATGCATCTTATCAATGCATTACTATGCATTATAATATAATGATTATATCAATGAAAATATGTTTTAAATACAATATTTAACATTATTTTAATAAAATATTAATTTTGTTACACTTGAATACTGTTTTGAATTTGTTGTCTAATTAATTTTAAAAAATAATTCTTAAGGATAATTACTTAACAAATGTAAAATAAATCAAAATATATTTACGTCTAAAATAATAAAGTTGTTAATAATAAATAATAAATTGTTAGTGAATAAAAGAATAGAGTACAAATATATTGAGTACTGATAGTTAATAAACAGTGAGTATATTATCAATGTCATATCAATAATTTTTTTTAAACTATTATTAAAAGAAAACAATAATATTTTAATTCAGTTAAAAGGGTAATATTGGATATGATAAACATATTTTAAGATGTTTTTCTTCTCATTGTAGTTTATAAGATTACAATAGGTAGTTGATCGAGGTGTAACAGTAGATGTAAAGAAATAAGTGAATTCATGCTAAATATATTGTTATATAAAATACTAATTGTTTATTCAATAAACTTTATTGCATTCTTAAGAAAATATAATTGAAATATCATTCAATGTTATGCTTTTGCTCTTATATTATATAAGTTATTATCACATGCTTTAGAATACCCCACACGATTCCCTAGATTAATGTATTTTGTAAAATTATCATGAGTGTTACTAAAAAAGTTAATCAGTTAGAAACATAAGTGCCAATCATTCCATAATATTGCTCTGAAACTTAAAAAAAGTTTTAAAACCTTAAATTGCAAAATACAAAACATATTTGGCTTTAATTCTAAGAAATGTAATCTTAAATCAGATTAAGTGTTCATTAATTACCTATAAATAAGTGAGTATTTTATCGAAATTTACTACAATATTCCTAAACACAATGAGAGTATTAGTGATTCTTTCAGTTTTTTATTTAGCCGTAAATGCGGTCCAATTTGAAGACCACTTGAATTTAGACCCGGTTTTCAATGGCACCAATTGGGTCGTACTTTGCGCCGGTAGTAACACGTGGTATAACTACAGACATCAGGTATAATTATTGTTCAAACAATGTAATTAAAATTAGGAAATTATATATGTTTTAATCAATATAATGCATTACAGTCTGATGTATACCATGCATACCAAGTGATCAAATCGCACGGAATTCCCGATTCAAACATAATTGTCATGCATTACGACGATATCGCTAACGCTAAACAAAATCCAATGCCAGGTGTTGTCATCAATCGGCCCAACGGTCCCGATGTCTATAAAGGAGTTCCTAAGGATTATGTTCCGATTCAAACATAATTGTCATGCATTACGACGATATCGCTAACGCTAAACAAAATCCAATGCCAGGTGTTGTCATCAATCGGCCCAACGGTCCCGATGTCTATAAAGGAGTTCCTAAGGATTATGTGGGCGAAGATGTCAACCCTTCCGTCAGTTTAATATATAGATTTTAAATTAATGTTAATTATGTTTCTAGTATTGACAACTTTTTATTGATATTTGTATTATATTTGTAGAACTTTTTATCTGTGCTTAGAGGAGACTCCGTATTGGCTCGTGATCATAAAAAGGTGGTCAATAGTGGACCAAATGATCATATTTTTGTATATTTTGTTGATCATGGATCTAATAGTGAGTATAATTTTCTAGTAGTTTAATTTAGCAATAGTTTATAAAATAGAAAATAATTGAACTGATAAAAGCTAACAAATGTTTAATAATTGATAATGAATTCAATGAATAGATTTGGTTGCGTTTCCACACAAATACCTTTACGCAAAAGAATTGGCCGAGACTTTGATTACAATGCATAAAAATAATAGATTTGCAAAATTGGTCTTTTATATGGAGGCCTGTCATTCAGGTTTGTACATATGATTGGTGATTATTATTGTATTGTATAATAATACTGTACATTTGATCATCATAACTTATAAAAATTATTTGTTGTAAAATATATTTGTTAATTAAAGGTTCAATGTTTGAGAAGCTGTTGCCAAAAGACATCAACATTTACGTGACGGCCAGTTCCGGACCAACTGAGTCGAGTTACCTGTGTTGGGACGACAGCAAGATTCACACCTAC